AGATCATCGTCGTTACTTATTTGACACTGAAAAAGTAACAAAAAATCTTTGTTTATTGAAACTTACTTCCTTCAAATTCTTCACTGGAACAACTAAGCTTTTATTGTTCGATGTTCCATCACCATTGGAATACGCGATATCTACGGTTACGTTCTTCTTTTCATTTGTATTGATAAAGTCTAGTTCTAATATTGGTTTAGACGACGACAGACAGTTGCTGTTCCATGGAAAAAGAAAAAGATATTCCTGGCCGAGGTTTTCGATATGTTCTTGGGCTGCAGTCAGCACTAGATCGCTTATAACGACTGGAATTTTTTAAGCAAATGAGCATTTTATTTTTTAACTTTATAAACGGTAAAGTACCAATTTTTGAAAGCTCTGACTAATTTAAAAAAAAATGACCTTCAAGAATTGATCACTTGTCATTTTTTTAGTTTATTTCTCAGAAGCAGTAATTTTTTTGTTGGGTTAGAAAGCAAAGATACATTATGCTAGTTTAGCCTGTTGCAAAGTTTTCTCCGCTTTTCTTTTACACATCTTTAAACCTTTTGTGATCGTTGTGCAGCTCAACCAATGAGTGAAAGATTTTAACTCTTGGAATAAAATTTCTTTCTCTACCTCAGATTTCTTGCTTTGGTTTGGTTCAAAATAGTGCGGCAATTTTATTTCACTCTTGTTTAATAATTCTATACTTAAAACGCTGATTTTTTCGCTTTTTATAAAGTACGGTATAGCTCAAATTTACTAGCAAAGATCAGTAGAACTTCAACTAAATAGCAACGTTTTTTTATTTTTTTTTTGCTTTTTTTTGACTATCTAGCAGCATAAAAGATTGAACAGATTTTTACAGAATACAACCATGACTGATTATGATAATTAGTTTTTTTTTGTGAATTATTTCAAAAGTGACGTTTGAAATGGTTTTCTTGAAAGACATCAAAAGAAACGAAATTTCTTGAACGAAAAGTGAATCACACTAGAAATTCCTATTTTCTTATTGAATATTTCCAAAAAATTTGAACTTTTGTACAATCCAACACCTATCTATGATAACAGCACGATTATTTTTGCGTATTATCACTTCAGCTCTTTACTGTTTGTTGGTTTGGTCATAAATTTTATTTTATTGCTGAAATTACGCAATAAAACTCTTAATTTAATAATATTCCCATTTAGATAACGAAGACAAAGATAAGATTGTATTTTGTAACTTGTGCAGAGAAACAGTAAGAAAAAAATGGCACCTTCACTATAAAAATTATAAAGAAAGATGAGAAAAATTTACTAGAATTGATACAAATTTAACATTTCTGACAACATAAAACCGATAATTTTTCAATCAAACTATGGCAATAAATTCGTTATTAAGATAAAGCAAAGAAATAAACTATAAAATTCTGTCACTTTGAATTTGTAACTGTAAGTTAAGACAATGACTATGGTTTGAAATAATCTATAGAAATTGCTTAAAAGTTAGCAAGAATAAAAGTGGTAATTATAAATAAAAATTTAACTGAACTTTATCTTAGACTTGTAGAAAAATTTTTTACTGTTACTCCGTAGGTGCAAATTCTGCGAAAAAAAAGAATTTAGAGTTTTGACCAGCAAACTGTATGACACTCAACTGTACTTTCTAAATCTTCTCTCTGATCGATGTCATTCCCTTTCTTTCAATTTCTAATATTTTTGTCTTTTAAATTTTTGGAAAAATTTCTCTAATGAAGCTTAGTCGGTTGACTGCGAAAACTGTTCTCACAAATTCTATTTTATTAAACAAATTAGTGTTGAAGCAAATTTATAATTCATCAAAAAAAACTAAAATTTTGCACTTTTTAATAAAACAATTTTCCTCTTTTTCATTACTTGGTTTCACCAGTTTTTTATTTTGTAGCTTGCTTGGTATTTACATATTCAATTTTACAATCTTATGTTTTCTAAGCGAGTATTTAAGATGAGTAATCAAAATCAACAACTAATCTGTTACGAAAATCAAAAATTTCTATATTTAAGTAGGTGTCAAAAAAATTATTTGTAAGATAAAAACTGAGTTTTTTCTTTACCTTATATCGTATACGTTTTTTTACAAAAGAACGCTCAATGCGAGAATAAAAAAAGATAAAAAAAATTTAATCTTTTTTACTATTATTTCTGTGCTATTTGAATATGAAACATCGTCTCTGTAAAAAGCCGAACAGTCCTCAGTGCAAAATGTAAAATTGAAATGCCAAAAATCAGTATTGTTCTAATATTTTTGTAAGTTACAACGTAGAATGTTCTATGCTTTTCGAAAGAACTCCGAATTAGCCTCAGTAATATTCTTTATAATGTAAAATAAATTTTTTTATCTCTAACTTGAAAAATTGAGAGTTTTTTAGCATGACTTAATCGTTTTTTAAGGCTACTAATGTTTAAAAAGAACTGTCTTTCTCTAAAAAGTAAGCAAATGTTTAAAAAAGAACATCATTTTTATGTTTATCTTTCTCATACTTCGTTCACTTCAATCTGTAACTTGTTTTACACTCGCTCCTTGTTTTTAAAATTCAACTATTTGTGCTTACATTTCTACGCAATCAAAAGGTACAAGAAATATACTACAATACTTTTAATTCTAAACAACTGTTCTATTTTGAAAGTAAAAAATAACTTTAACAGTCACTTTTTGCCTTTTCTCATGATTTTTTCAAACTCTATTATAGACAGATCATTTACTGTAAACGGTAAATCGAAACCAAAACTGACTGTCTTTCTGTTTTTCCAAATTTTTTAAGTACACTTCAGAAAAGTAGAATGCAAAATGACGTTTTTCGAGCAAATCATTATCTCGGTGAAAAGTATAAAATTTATAAAACCTACCAATTGTTTCTATAGAATGAAATAAAGATTCAGCTTCTCACACACTTTAATAGAATTCTTTGTAAACAACAAAGGTGCTTCCTTAAACTTGAAAAGTTAGAGATTGACTTCTCAGTAAAAAAAATGTGTTGTTTAAGTTTATAGTTGACTGGAATTTTTTGTTTTATTTTAAATACTTAACTTGGTTTTGTCTGTTTTAGAAAATATTTACAGTTCTGAAAGAAATAATTACAACAAAAAGAAATCTTACCGTTGAGCAAAAAATAAATACTCTTCAGACGGAACATGGCAATCCTTGCACTATTTTGCGGTAGTGAAGACTGGATGTACGTTTCTTTTGGTTATTTATTCTATTTTTTACAAAAAAAAAAAAAAAAAAAAAAAAAAAAAAA